ACTAAACGAACAAAAAAATTTGTTCATGTTCGTTCATTTATTAAATAAACGAACTTTCCGACGAACGGTTCGCTGAACGTTCGGTTCATTTAGAGGGACCAGAAAAATCTTAGAAATGCAATAAATCAAATTCCACATATATCTTTAGTAACCACATGCTTCAAGCACTTTAACTGGGTTTGAGATTCTAGCTGCCTAGATTGTAGACAATAATTCAGTATGTAACTACTAGCCATTACTTATACTCCTTTCTTTGCCAATTTATTACCCACTTATACTAATATAAATATGATTAATTATATATATATATATATATATATATATATATTAAAGAAGAAACCAAGGATAATGAGGTGGCACCTTCTAATGCTTAGAACCCTTCTTATCTTTTTTCTCATTTTTTTGATTTTTTTAAATGTTGAATATGTTAAAGACTTTTTTGTCCCTGGATGAAAAATGTATAGCTCATAATTAACCCGGGTTATTTTTGTAATTTTGTATACCCAAGTTTAATCTCCAACTCTTGATTTGCTCTTCCATTTACTTAATGAAATTTGTTTTTTAAAGTTTCAACAATAAACAAAATGAAATCATATAAAATCCTTTGGTGAGGGATGAAGAAGATGAGAGTTGAAGAATAATTCAAAGATTTTAAAAGGTATGTAGAAATTATATTCATTAAAAAATGTGATTTGTTATTACATATTTCTTTTTCAATATTGTTGGATATATTGTTATCATAGGATATGATTGTGTTTATGATTGGATCATATAAATTGTGTTTATGATTTGATCATATAAATTCGAATAAAATTTTGATATTTTATAATCACAGGATATGATAAACTTTTTTCGAATTTAAACTTCATTAACAATAACTATTTATACGTGATTGATAATTACGTTAAATTTTGACTATTTCAAGATTTTTTTTCAATTAATAGAAATCCTTTGGTGAGTAATGAAGAAATAAAAGTTGAAGAAAACTTAAAAGCTTTTAAAAGGTACGTAAAAATTATATTATTTACAAAATGCGATTTGTTATTACATATTTTTTTCTTTTCAATATTGTTGGATTTGTTGTTATCGTAAAACATGATTGTGTTTATGATTGGATCATATAAATTCGAATAAAGTTTTGATATTTAATGATTACAAGATATTATAAAAACGAATTTAAACTCCTAACTTTACTTTTTAAAGAAGCTTTCGAGAAAACAAGAGAGGTAAGAGGTTTTAACATGTGTTTATTATATAGACAAAAAGTAATTCCGATCGACTCCATTTGAAATTTGCCTTTAAAGACATTGATACAGGACATCTTTTGACTTAATCAACAATTAAGACAAGCAAGAGGTCTCGAATCAAACCGACATGTCGTCAATTTTTCATTTATATAATACATCACAATTTACAATCAAATATCTAAACTAATACTAATCATAACAAGAACATACATATACAAAAGAACGGAACTTCCATTTCCATCACCCATGACGTACATCTCCGACAACCCCCATCTCTCCACTACAAGGCTTTTGACTTAACGGTATCGTAGTCTTTAGCCTCTCAGGAGGTCAGGGGTTCAAACCCCACAAAAAGTGAGAAGGGTGTGTGAGTTTATTTGTTACATTTGCCTTATATAAATATTATATAATTAAAACATCTCCGTCCCGAACAACACATATCCAATCTTCTTTCTTCCGTTTTCCCCTCTATGTAAGGTCATGTGCTTGAATCTTTTATACCAAATTTTTCTAGAAATATGATAAATCTAAAACTAAAAGTTAAAAACTAAAAAAATGATATAAATCCCATGTTTAAAAGAAGACTGAAGACCATGCAAACTAGCTCATACAAAAGAATTTTATTTTACCGTAATTTTTAAGAATATATGATAACATATTTGACAACTTTTTACACCACAACAGATTCATCCCATGATGAATATGCAGAAAAGTAATATAATGGGTGTGGGGGCTGACTATGATGAAGTAGTTTCAGTCGCTAGTAGATTGCATTACAGACCCGGATCTTTGCCCTTTACATACCTCAGTTTGCCGATCGGTGGTCGCTCCAATAAAGCTGAATCTTGGGCGCCTCTGGTTGAAAATTTTAACAAAAAATTATCAGTCTGGAAATCCAAAATCCTTTCTCATGGTGGTCGTCTTGTCATGGTCAAATCTGTTTTAGGAAGCCTGGGACTGCATTTCCTCTTGCTCCTCAAGGCCCCTATTTCGATCATCAACAAACTTGAATCAATTCGCTCGAGGTTCTTCTGGGGTGATAAAGGAGGTGTGAGAAAGATCTCATGGATCCGTTGGAGTACCACGATGGCGGATAAAGATGATGGCGGTCTGGGGATTGGTAGTCTAAAAGCTCTCAATCTAGCGCTTCTTGCAAGATGGTGGTGGCGCTTTAAAACTGAGCATAATCACTTTTGGCGACGGGTTATCGCTGCTCTACACGGAGAGGATGGGGGTCTGAATAACCTGGCCAGATGTGGCAAATTCCAGGGATTATGGAGGAACATCATAAAAATCCACAAGGAATTCCATAAACTCAACCTTCCTTTTGCGGACTGGTTCCTTAAAGAACAAAGGCCAAACGGGATCGACTTTTCATGGCGATGGGATCTGGATCCTCACGGCACCTTCTCGGTCTCCTCGACGAGAGCCGCTTACGATGACCGTTCGTTAGATCAGGTTAGCTTCCGAACCTCTTGGTGGGTCAATTGGGTTCCTGCAAAAATCAACATTTTAGCTTGGCGTCTGCTTCACAAACGGCTTCCGACTAAAAATAATCTCTTAAAAAGAGGTGTGATTTGCCTCTCCTCTTTGTGCCCTCTGTGTGATTGTATCGAAGAAGATGAGGAACACTTGTTCATAGGATGCTCGATATCACGGAAGCTGCTCAAGGACCTGTGCACTTGGTGGAAAGTGGATATAGGACAGGTGAACTCGATTGACAATCTTCTGGACCGTAGCTCGGAGGTGGCTGGGAATTCCATGTGTAAAAAGGCGTTTCTCGGAGTGGTGTACGGGTTCTTCTGGATTATCTGGAACTTGCGCAACCGTAAAATTTTCCGAGCTTCCTCTATGAATTCGACTTCTCTTCTCGCAGGCCAGCTTCAAGCGTACTCTTTTTCTGGTTTAAAAATAGGGTTCGGAAAAGCTTTTTGTTGAATAGTTGGATAGAGTGGTGTAACTCCCTCAGGTCTTGTTTTTTGCCTGTACTCTCTCTTTGCTAGCGCCTTGCTAGTCTTTTTATAATATTTCGCTTTTCTTTGCCGGTCAAAAAAAAAAAAAAAAAAACAGATTCATCCCATGTGTTAGAAGACGACACGCCCTCCTGCTACTCCCCCCACCACGAGGGTTCATCTTTGTCTCTCTATAAATGGAAACCATTTGTTTCTTCTTCTCACCGTCACCTTTGTTAACATACCTTTTAACGTATTCTTTAAAATAGGAAAATAAAGATTTTAGATAAATTTTTACTCACTATAACAAAATTGGGTTTATAGGACACCTCCGATCTCTAAGCGTTCCAATAGACCGTTTTATAGAACTTGATTTATAGGACTAAAATATAAAGCGTCATATCTAAATGTGTTGTAATAAGTTTATATGACGYTTTTAGGCGTCTTAACAAGTTTTTTAGAACATTTTTAATACAAAGTGTCGCATTAACAACTTTATAGGATACTTTTGAGAAAGTGTCCTATAAACTCAATTTTTTATAGCAAGTTTGTTTTTATATGACAGGTTTTCAAATAGTGTCCTATAAAGTTGTTAATGTGACACTTTATATTAAAAGTGTCCTAAAAAACTTATTACGACGTCATAAATCGTCATATAAACTTATTACAACACCTTTAGATAGGACACTTTTTTTTTTTAATCTTATAAACCAAGTCTTATAAAGAGGTCTATTAAAACGATTAGAAATTGGGAGTGTCCTATAAACCCGATTTTGTTATAGTGTTCGGTCAGTTATATACGACTTAGTAATAGCTAGATAAAGAAAACAACTTAATCAATAAGTTTCTTGAGAGAGTTTTATACAGAAAGACAAATCTTTTATGAACTTGGTTCATCCAATTAAAAAATACGCTCATTTTATTATGAAAAAAGTTTTTTCAAACAAATTTTTTTTCAATTTATACAAACTGATAAATTCACATAGACAACTCAATCTATACATAATTTAACGTAAAATCAACCAAAAATTTCTAAACATCATATGCAAAATATAATAATGATAATTTAAAATAAAAATATTAAAGTAAAGGTAATGATATGATAGCACCTATACTGTAACTCAACAGTACTCGCTACCTACTACCCGCTACCTGCTATATGTGTAATCGAATAAGAACATGTAAAAATAACAGGTTGAATATTCATGTTAAAAATATAGATATAAATGAAAGAAAGTTATATCGAATAAAAATAGGGAAAAATCTAATAAATTTTCTTATTTTGAATGATTTAGTCTATAAAAAAGAAACTATTAAATGATTTAATTTTAAATAATTAAATTTCTGAATTATTTTTTTAAATTAAATATTGATAGAAGTTAGATTATCTTATATGGTTGGTAATTTTTTTTCAAAATGCATGAGTTTTCTTAGATAATAATAAGAGAATAAATGTGGATGAAATAATCAAAAGGGTCAGCAGAAAATGAATGACAGATAATATAAATGAGTGAATAATGTATAAAAAAATAATTGTAGTTTTAATTTTTAAAATCCTATATTAGAAGTAAGTTAGATTGTTTCATATGGTTAAATCAAAGTTTTCTAGACATGTAATTATAGACTTTGATACTAGATAAATAAAATTAATAAAAACAATAAATAATACTATAAAATGAACGATTAATTAAATTTTTATATATTTGTTTTTGGATATAATTAATTAATACCTTTACGAAGATTTAATACTATATTCTTTTTGAATTTTATGAAATACTAAAAGAAATTTGTGTACCGTAAATATGTGGATATATAGATAGAGATAGACATCAATTGGTGAGTGTCTTTCAAGTGTGACCGAGTCAATAATGGAAGCTCACATAGCCATTTTCCCGAGTCCAGGGATGGGTCACCTCATTCCACTCACTGGGTTAGCTCATCGTCTTCTCCACCTCCTCCACCGTCGAGTCTTCATCACCTTCATCATTCCCACCACCGCCGGATCATCCATAAAACCCCAAAACGACATCCTCAATGCCATGCCAGAGAACGTAAGTTCCATATTTCTTCCTCCTGTAGATCTAAACGACCTTCCACAGGATGCTGCCATGGAGACTCGGATATTACTCACCGTGACTCGGTCATTACCCGCTCTACGTCAAACACTTGTCGAGTTAACTCGTGACTCGACAAAACGACCCTCAACTTTGGTTGTAGACATTTTTGGCCCTCCTAGTTTCGAAATTGCCAAAGAATTTGATATTTCAGCATATATTTTCTCTACGGTTTCAGCTATGACGCTGGTTACCATCTTCCATGTTCCTCTTCTAGATCAGATGTATGCTTATGAGTACAGGGATTTAACTGAACCGCTAAGGTTTCCAGGATGTGTTCCGATTCCACGAACCGATGCTCCTGAATCACTTATCGGTAAAAAGAACAAGGCGCAGAAAGAAAAGGTTGAGATGTTCAAGATGTATAATTTGCCAAAGGGTATACTGGTTAACAGCTCTGTTGAACTAGAACCGGGTGCGTTTAAAGCCATGGAAGAAGGTGAGTGGTGTAAACCGGATGTGTTCCCGGTTGGACCGTTGATACGTACAGGTTCAGAACAACAAACCCACGATGGGTTTGAATGTTTGAAGTGGTTAGATAAGCATCCGGTCGGGTCGGTTTTATTTGTTTCATTTGGAAGTGGTGGCACACTTTCCCAAAAACAACTCAACGAACTTGCATTCGGATTGGAGCAAAGTGGTCAAAGATTTCTTTGGGTCATAAAATGCCCAAACGAAAAGGCAAATGCAGGTTACTTCAGTGCAGAAAACCATGTTGACCCGTTTACGATTTTACCCGATGGGTTCTTGGATCGGGTCAAGGACCATGGTCTGGTTGTGTCAACTTGGGCCCCTCAAGTTGAGATCCTGGGTCACGGCTCAACCGGAGGGTTCTTGACACATTGTGGGTGGAACTCCATTCTCGAAAGTATCGTGAATGGAGTTGTGATGATTGCATGGCCGCTTTTCGCAGATCAAAAAATGAATGCTGTGAACTTGACGGATAGTCTCGGTGTTGGTTGTCGGGTGAAAGTGGGTGAAAACGGACTGGTGGCAAGAGATGAAATCGAGAAGTGTATTAGAAGTTTGATGGAAGGAGAAGATGGGCGTAAGATGAGGGTGAAAATGGAACAACTGAAAGAGGGTGTTGCGATGGCGTTGAGCCAAGATGGTTCATCAACCACGTCACTTTTAGACATGGCTAAAAAATTAGATTTTTAGGTATATAACCTTAAATGAAAGGACCGATTAATGTTGCATGTTTTTATTTAATTGTTGCCATTTAATAAAAACTATTATATGTTTAATATAAAAATGGAGTAATTTGTTTAGAATTATAAAAACATGTGAAACCCAAGTCTTCAAGGACATCATGTTTCAACATACCACGTAAAGTCATAGAATTTAATTTTAATATCGTGCGAAAATATATACAAACTCCTAAATTTAATCTTTAAAGAAACTTTCGAGAAAACAAGAGAGATAAGAGGTTTTAAACATATGTTTATTATTCAGACAAAAAGTAATCCCAAAGCGACTTCATTCAGAACTTGCCTTTAAAGACATCGGTACGAGAGGACGTTTTTTTTTACTTAATCAGCAATTAAGACTAACGAGGGGTCTGCATTCAAACCGACATGTCATCTATTTTTTGTTTATATAATATATAACAATTTACAATCAAATATCTAAACTAATACTAATCATATAGGGTGTGTTTGGCGTCCAGACAAGACATGATAGAACAGGACAAGACTAAACTAATATATGACTTGAAAGTAGCTTAATGATATAGAAAGTAGTTTAATCAGTAAGTTTCTTGAGGGAGTTTTACGCAGAAAGACAAGTCTTTTATAAACTTGTTTCATCCAATTAAAAAATACGTTCATTTCATCTATAGAAAAACTCTCTCCCAAACAAAAACATTTTCAATTTATAGAGACTGATTAATCCACATAAACAACTCTATTTATACATAATTTTAACGTAAAACCAACCAAAAATCTCTAAACATCATATACAAACTATAATAATGATAATTTAAAATAAAAATATTAAAGTAAAGGTAATGATGTGATAGCACCTATACCAAACTCAACAGTGGTAAGTTATTGGAAAACGCGTTCGAATTCGAACTCGCTACCTACCATCTGTTAGGGTGCTTAAAAACTCGATCAACCTGATCAATTTAACATGAAATAACTCAATCCGAAATAACCCAATGTCTAATCGAGTTGTAAAATTTTCAAACCATAGGTATTTGGTTGATATTGGATTACTATTATTTGAACTCAACCCAACCCGATAAACCCGATATCCCTTTATTTCTTGGATTTAATATGATTGTTGAATTTATATTAATATATACATTAGATAATTATACCATCATGTACGCTCTTCATATGCATATATTTTCAATCTATTTACATCTCTGTATAACTCATTCGTATATATGTTCAATAACTGTAAACATATATATTAAATTGAGAAAATCAACTGAATGTGATATACGTAAGAAGTATGGATGAGTTGTATAAAATGACTGATGATGAAAAAGAAATAATGAGTAGAAAAATAACATATTCAAGGTTAGAAGAATATTTTAATGTATCAAAGTATCAATCCGACCAACTCGTACGATTTGGATTGGGTTGGGTTGGTTAAGATTTTTCAAATTGCAAGCATTTGATTGATTTGTTCAAATGTCTTCGACCCGATCAACTCAACTCAACTCATGAACACCCCTACATGTAATCATCAAAAAGAGAATATGCATATAAATGCAAGAAAGTTTTATCAAATAAAAATAGGGAAAAAATCTAATAAATTTTCTCATTTCGAATGATTTAGTCTATAAACTATTTTTTAAATAAAGAAACTACTAAACTTTTTAATTTTGAATGATTAAATTCCTGAACTATTTTTTTGAATGAAAAAATCATTAAACTTTCATACACAAAATGTGAAAGTTTAATTTTTCTTTCATTTAGAAAAATAGTTTATGAATTAAATCATTTAAAATGAAAAAAATTGTTGAATTTTTTTGAACTTTTCTAAAAAAAAAATGTGACACACATTTATATAATTGATAGATTTTTTTTTTTTGAAATAATAAATTTTTTTCAACAAACACGTTTGTTGAGTCAACTTTGACTCGAAAAATAACCTCAAGTTTAATTAGCTATCGATTGTTTTTAGTTTTGAAAACGAAAAAATCAACTTTCACGATTTATATTTTCATGTCTTTTTTCAGTATTGGAAAATATAGTGAAATTCACTCAAAATATATTTAAATGGTGGGAAATTTATATAAATAGTTATTTTATAAAATAGATTTCACTTTTTAGTCACTTTAGGAAACTTTTTTCTTAAATAGCCAAAGTTTACAAAAATAAATTACGTAGAAGGATAATTTTTTTATTAATATGGATATCCAAACCGCTATACGAGTCGACTAATTCAAGAACGATCATCTGCTTTGCAGATAGCTCGGAGTCACTGCATTTGAACTTCCATGGCCACAAGAGATTTTTATTTCTCCTTGGATTTGAACTTGGGACCTCCTGGTACTTTTGACATGGAGGTCCCAGGTTCAAATCCAAAGAGGAATAAAAATCCCTTGTGGCCACGGAAGTTCAAATGTGGTAACTCTGGACTATCTGCAAAGCAGGTGGTCATCTTAGAATTAATCGGCTCGCATAGCGAATTGGATATCCAAGTAAATCAAAAAAATAATAATTTAAAAAGGTACTTTATGCGTCAAGTTTCTAATTGATTGAAAAAAGTTTACATTCTACACCTTAGAATTAGTTATTTAATTACTTTATATCTCTTTCTTTTTAATTTTATATTTTTATTATATTAACACATATAATCGTATATTAATTAAAATACATAAAAAAAATTGTTTCTTATTTACAAATTACATTATTATAATTGTCTCTCTAATACGTTCACAATGACTTGAATATTTTTAAATTTAATTTTTATGTTATTAAATATCATAAATATATACGAACTATTTTTTAAATTTACGTTTTCTATCCTTACGGTTATTTATTAAATCTATAATTATAAGAGTATAAAATGTAATTATTAAAAAAAATTGTAAGTTTTACGGTATTTAATAATATAAATTTAAATTCAAAAGTATTCATTATTGTACTTATTTTGAACGTATTGATGAAACTATGATAATGATCTAATAAAGGTGTAAAGTGTAAAAATAGTTTATGAGAGTTTGTTGATTATTAGGAAACTATTTTGCCATTTTATACCCTTATAATTTATTTATCTAATTTATTTTATATCTTTTACTTTTTTATTGTTTATTTTATATTTTTTATTATATTAAAAACATAATTGTATATTAACTAAAATACTTTAAAATATGTTTCTTTTTCTACGAATCATATCATCATAATTGTCTTGTCAATACGTTCAAAATGTGTCAATATTGAATATTTTTGGAATTTATTTTATATTATTAAATATCATAATACGTATGAATTATTTTTAAAATTATATCTTCTACCCTTATGATTATTTATTTAATGTATTTTTTTACATATTTATTATATTAACATACGTANCTTCTACCCTTATGATTATTTATTTAATGTATTTTTTTACATATTTATTATATTAACATACGTAATCTATAATTATAAGAGCATAAAATGTAATTATTAAAAATAATTCCTAAATTTTATAATATTTAATAATAGAAGATTAAATTTTAAAAACATTCAATATTGGACTCATTTTGAATGTATTGATGAGATGATTACAATGATATAATTTATAAAAAACGTATTTTTTTATGTATTTTAATTAATATACGATCGTGTGTGTTAATATAATAAAGATGTAATTAACAAATAAAAAAGGTTTTTTTAATTAACACGTTAAATGACTATATTATCCCTTAACTAATGATGCTTTTTAAGGTTGTAATTTATAAAAGAGAGATTCAGCACGAAACAAAATGTAAACGATAACAACCCTCGTATTTTTATCTTATTCTAAAATAGAGATCATATTAAAATTATGAGCAACCACATGTAGGCATGGGAATGGGCTCCGACCTGTCGGGGAACCCGATCCACCCGCCTCCGTCGGGGACGGGGATTCCCACACTAAAATGGGGATGGGGATGGGGATGGGGACGGAGATCCCCGTTTGTCTCAAACCGGGGATGGGGATGGGGACATGTATGGTACTCCCCGTCTCGCTCCGTACCCGTTATATATATTAATTAATAAATTATATATACATCTATACATATATTACTTATTTCAACTAAAGCGTTAATTCATAATTTATTATTTCCTAACTAGGTTTATAATCTAAAATTGTTATTTTTTGGATGTTAATATGCAATTTTTTGGATGTCAAGTCAAAATACAATTACTCGATAAATTTTGAATATTGCTCGATATAGTTTTATATTACTCGATATCTTTTGATATATGTGAATTTAGTTTTTCTTGATTAAAATTTTTTTTTTGTTTTAAGTTATTAGTTCTTTTATGATGTTGTGGTTTTTTGTATTAAATTAAATCCATTTTGGTTTTAAGTTTATTGAAAATGTTTGAGATTTAAACATATATGGTCTCTCACATATTTAATTTAAAATAACTTACATAAACGAAACAAAATTCTCGTTTCCCCGTTGGGGATCCCCGTTCCCCGTTTGAGATGGGGACGGGGATAGAGATAAGTAATCGGGGATTGTTCGTTTAGGTAAATAAACGAATATAAACAAAAGTCTAGTTTGTTTATTTATGTTCGTGAACGTTTGTTTATTTATGTTCGTGAACATATGTTTATTTACGTTTGTTCGTTTATATATTAAATTTAATATATAATCTTTTTATTTAGTTTGTTTGAATTCAAATAATATTTATTTAAGTTTTAACTTTTTAGAATTTATATAGATTTAAATTTTAAATTTTATCATCATTTTGCCTTATTTGAAAATTTTATCTTTTCATCGTTTATGTTTATTTATCATCGTTTATATTTGTTTAGCGCTGTTCGTTTATGTTCGTTCAGCTCGTTCAGCTCGTTCGTTTAGCATGTTAAGGAACAAACATAAATAAACACGAACACACCTGATTTTTAAACGAATGAACACGAACACAAAGATTTTCGTTCGTTTACCATTTGTGTTTGTTCGTTTGTTTGGTTAAATTAACGAACGAACATAAATAAACCTTTTGTCCGTGTTCGCTCGATTCATTTACATTCCTACCCATACGAATGAGCCGGTGTAATTTAGGGGCCGTTTACCAAACACTTACCCGGTAAATGCTTACCGGGTAAAATTTAACTCTATTATTTACATACGGTGTAAGATTTTAGTCCACCAAAAGGACATTGTACGCAACAATTTACCCGGTAAGCGCTTACCGTGGTAAGAGTCGTCGCCCTCACTTACCGGGTAAGACTTTTGGTTTTTATCTCATTCTTACCGGGTAAGATTCTTGGTCCTTACCATATTCATCATGTAAGGTAACATGACTTGATAAGCACTTACCCGGATAAGCGTTTAGTAAACGACCCGTTACTCTTTATATAAATAAGACAAAAACAGATAAAAAACGAAGGAACCCCCAAAAACACACAATGAAACTCTGATAAGGAACTGCTCATTCTTCAGAAACCTCGTTAAACCGTTCATCACTCGATCACGATGATCAACTGTCTTCAATCTGTATGCTGTAGTCCGACTTTGTTGGGTTCTTCTTCTTCTTACTCCTTTCGAAACAGTTTCAAAGTTGATACTCATTATCCCACTGGAATCAAACAGTTCAATTGCTTCAGAAAGGCTAGAATTTCCGAGAAAAATCCAAGTAATTTTGTTGTAAATGGATTGCCATTTCCAGTAGATCCATGGTCACCCACCATTGATTCACAGAGTATAGCTTCACAACTCTTTGCTTTCTCATTGTTTCCATACATTGGGTTTTTATATTTCATCACCAGATCCAATTCCGCGCCGAAGCTTACCCTTTTTGGTTTCTACTTCTTGCTTGCTTTTGTGGGTGCCACCAGTTAAGTTTCCTCCATTAATCTATTTTTCTTATTTGAATGTCGGTACTCGGTGGTATGCTGTAGAGATTTTGTACATTTTGCTTGTCTGCCAAGTGTTTGTTAATATTACCAAGTGAATTGTTCTAAACTTTGGTTCTTATTGATCCCGTTCTTCTTTATTGTACCCGTAGATTGTAGGAGTATGCCAAGGCCTACTGATTAGATTTTGTACATTTTGAAACTATATGCTGTTGTTTTGCAATTTTGCTATAAATCTATAGTTGGTATGCAACAAAAACGTACATTATTGTGCTCACAATTTGATGAAATTTCGCTAAGGTTTTACTTGAATAATTCTCAAACACCAAATTGGTAATCCTTTCTTTGTTTTGATATAAAAAACATACAATTTGCTTGTGCTATGGTTCAAAGCATCTTCCTATATCATCATTTTCATGTCATTCTTGTCTTGTTTTGATTTGGTATCCTTCATTTTGTTATTGTTATTGATTTCATTAGCATATTGAATCAGTCGAATGTACATGTGAAATTTGTTAAAAGAAAACATGCCAATCTATGGAACATAACTGAAAAAGAAACACTTCAAATTGACAAAAAGAAGATACCTAAAAGAATGTTCCAACCTTTCGGTTGGAGTAAATTTGTTCACTAGTTTTGATCATCAGAGTGTTCTTTTTGTTGTTCTTTTCCATGCTTATTGCAATTATTCAAAATGCTAACCACAAGGGTGGTGCCTGATTGGTTTGAATTTGGCTCCAAAGGTCAAAAGTACCTGGAGGTCCCAGTTTCAAATCCAAGAAGGAATAAAAATCCCGGCCACGGAGGTTCAAATGCGGTGACTCCGGGCTAGCTGCAAAGCAAGTGGTCGCCCTGGGATTAGTCGGCTCGCATAGCGGGTTGGATATCCAGGTTAATCAAAAAATAAAATTATTCAAAATGCTAACAACTCCTTTAATTATTGTTAAATCAACTTCATTTGATCTTACTAAGTTTCTTTGTGGTGGTGTGTTCTTGCCCCTCTTCTTCACATCCAGTCCCAGCAGGAATTTACGGTAATTTCCTCTTTCCTAGCTCAGATTTCATTCTTTATTCTGTAGATATCGTTTTATTAATTATCAAAAAGAACAAATACTTCACAGGCTATTTTCAATTGAAGCCAATTTGATATCAGTCAATGATTTCGGTGAAAAATTGTGCTAGAAATCTGATACACATAAGCATTCTGAAAAAGATGTCTTTCAATAGTACACATAAGCATATGTACATAGTACATAAGTAATCTAACAACAAAACATTTTGTTGGTCAATTTTGAATTTTGTTACATATATTTATCAATTTTGAACCATTTTGTTACACAAAGTAAGAGTGATTTGTAATTGCACTTTCTATATTTCACTTAGCATGTAAATAAGACCCACAAAATGATAGAAAATTGGTTCAATTGGGAAAAATCGAGTGAAGCTATATATGTTTGTGACTATTTTTGGACAGCCAAGGTGCATTATGGAACTTCCTTATCAAACGTGGATTGGTTACATGGTGGTGCTGAATCACTTCTCACTTTGACCAACCTGTTTATCGTTATCGGCCTCAGACAAGCTCTTAGAAAAGCCAATCATGCAAAGGAACTTGCACGTGATGCTGTTTCAGAGGTATCAGATGACAACACTCCATCCACTTGACCTTCATCCTATCATTCTGTTATGGAATTTATATGCAAAGTAGATAAAAGAAAGATGTATGATAATATATTATGTAATATACATGTTTGATCTTACTACTATGTAATTATGTGCATTTACACACTTTCTTTGGATATATACATATAGAGTCTCAATCATTTGCAAACCTCCTAATCCATAAACAAACCAATCTCCACCGTCCATATAGGCTGAAGAATATCTGGTTCCATAAATATCTCAATTATTTTATAATCTAAAGCGTTGATCATAATGAATGAACTTGAATCATCCTTCATATCCTAATCATAATAAATGAACCCTCACCATTTTCCATAAATATATCAACTGTTTGGTTTGTATGAATTAGGAGGTTTGCAATGATTGTGACTCTATACATATATGCATATTTACGTTTGTATATGTTCTTTTCCCTTTTAAAATAGCAAGTAGGGAATTGTACAAAATTTCAAAAATGGATATTAAGTAATTGTATCAAGAAAGTCAAAAAACTACGTCTTGCAACAGACACAAAGTGTACAGCATATCATATGCCATTCAAAACGTGAGTTATAGGGAGCATTTGAGCCTGTTCGATCACGTACCATCTTTTTCACTGGCAAAAAATTGATATTTGATATTCATACATAACTTTAGATGTTCCTTGGCTACAAAATCTTACACTAATATATGTTACAAACATGATCATCAATCTTGAATTCTACTGATGCAGAATTCTTATCTTGAATTATTCAAATATCTATAGTTCTTGAGGGTTATCTAAGGCTGCATCCTTCTAGAAGATACGAGTTACTAAATTTGTAATTCGAGAATGTATCTTCCGGATCAGTTGGGAAATCCATCATTGGTAAGCTGTTCCAGTCTGAGAATAAGTTTAATTCAGAGGTGGCCGGAGAGATGAACGGTGGTGAATAGCCTTGCAAGAGTTCATCATCGAAATGATTTGGAAAAAGAAGTTCCTGGCAACTTTCTAAGATTCCAAATGGTGTTGGAGAGAAGGAAAATGACGATGGATCAGTGGCACCCAAGTCAGTAGTGTTAACACTGAGGTTGGCTTTGAAATCTGAGAGCACCTCACTGGGATTTGGTGATGATTGGTGGTGGTGGTGGTGGTGGTGGTGGTGGTAGTGGTGGGGTGGCTCTATTTCATGTTTTTCAGGCGAAGCTGGTGATGGTGCTGCCGACTGGGTGGGGCCATGGTTGCAGGTGTGTTTCCCTTTGTATGCAATCTCAAATACTGCAGGGACTTCATCTGTTCTCTGCACTTGTTTTGTTGCCAAGCAGTTCTTAGCCTTCCGGTATGTGCATCTATAATAACTTCTGCAAATATTTAAAAATACTTAACGTTAGATCAAATAAAATTACTACCATAATGGTGGGATAAATAATTTTAGTACCATAATGGTCAAAATATATTTGGACCAAAAGGCGGCCCCATTGACTATATGACCGCCTTTTTTCTCCCTCTGGTATCAAAACGATCATGGGACCCACATGTGAGTCCGATGGTTAACGGTGATGGATTATGAGTTTACCTTGGATATTTGGAACCTAAAATGAGTTTCTGCCCATACTTCCTCCAATTGTAACCATCATCGGTTTTACCCTCTAGCCCGTCGTCAGTGCTGATTCTAACTTGATCTTCCCATTCTGTCGACGCCTTTCTGTTACACCAATCAAGAAAACAGATTAAGGGTCTGTTCACCAAACACTTAATCATTTCTCTCTAGATAAGTGGTACAGATGGGAAAATTACCTCTTTCTGGAAACGACATTTTGGCCCAGCTGATCATCAACGAGTTGGCCAAACTCGAATCCTCCACTTTGTAGGCTCCCTCCGGATATCGGTGAGTCGAGCAGACCAGGGGTCGGAGGTCCAGCAGAGTCAGCAGATTTAAGAACCAAGAGAATTTTATCATATGAAGATAAGATATTGTGTATCAAGAAGTCTCTGACTTGAGGTGAGTTCAGATTGGATCTTAGCTGCTTAGCCATTTGTATCCCTTGAGTCAGCTCATGGATGACTGTGTTTTGTTCTGAAACACAAGCAGTATCCATATCTTGTGAGATAGCACTATACTGCAGGTTGAAGGTGGGTTTGACTTTGGAAAGTCAATGGTGGTTCAGAGAGGAGGTTGTGATGGTGGAAGTGTAGAGTAGAGCAGAGTAGGAAGGAAAGAGTGGCGGAAGTGAAGAATATATAGGCGTTAGGAAGGCGAGGTTGAAGGAAAATGGTGGGAAGTCAAAGGTTGACTAAAGAAACCGAGTAAAATGGTTTAGTCTCCAAGATGGACCGTTTGTTGGTCAAACGCTGTAACGAGTGAGCTCTTTTGGCCGTTGACCACTAACTTCTCCTTTTTTTAAATTGCTGATGCCCAATTCCACGTCACAATCAAACCATTCAAATCACACGTTTCATAATATGTGCTAGATTTTTACAAAATTGGTCCTTAGACTTCATTTATTAAGGATTTGGTCCTTGTGGTGTGCACTTTCTGTTGGAGTTGGTCCCTCGACTAAACAGTCGTCTAACTTGTCTGTTGAAGTAGAGGCCAAAATGGTCCTTTTGCAAATTTAGCCCATTTTAATGTTTTATTTAATTTAATTTTTTTTTTTGGTTAAATATCATCTTCTACATATTAAGAATGAAGAACATCAAAGAACAAACTTATAGAAATTAAAAAACCAATATAAAATCAATCAAACCCTAAACCAACAATAATTTAATACAATGTCATTTCAAAAAATTGTAATACAAACCCTAAAATAAATACCTAAATTAAATCTTAGAATTAAAAACTTCAATTAAACCCTAAATCTAAAATTTAGGGGAATAAACAACCACAACAATCTAACTCTCGTTACCATAAGAAAACCCAGGAAAAAAAAAACCAAATATGAGTTGAAGAATGATGCAACAAAAATACATATTTTGATAGAGGGAGAGATCTGTAGCTTGTGGTCTTGATAGAAAACCGGTTCTGGAGCTTGGTGGTTCATGACAGAGAGCCAAATCTGAGTTGAAAGACGAAGGCAACAAAAACCAGAGAGAGAGAAAGACGATCGGCGACAACCTCGACCAAACGCAAATTTGGTCCATACATCGACAAACTTGAAGCAAACGCAGTCAAACCTGGGCAAATAACTGGGTTTGTGGTTCATGTGGCAAAAAAACCTTCAAATGATTGTTGTTGATTTCATATATGAAAGGGTAATCCAACAATAAGACGGAGATGGGGGTTTGACATATGATTTTGGATGAACTTGATGGTTGATGATTTCAGATGAGATAGAGATTTGGAAAATGATCATAGATGAATCTTGGTGGTTAATGATTTCAGATGATATAGAGATTGATAAATAATTTTGGATGGATCTTGAGAGTTGATTTATGGTTTTTATTTAGGAGTCGTTTACCAAACATTTACCCGATAAGCACTTACTGGAAAAATTCAATACTATTATTTACTTACCGGGTAAGATTTTAGTAAAAAAAACGGCTTTTTATACAATAATTTACCCGGTAATAGCTGACTGTGATAAGAGTCGTTGCCCTCACTTACCGGGTAAGACTCTCAGTCATTGTCTCGTTCTTACCGGGTAAGATTTTTGGTCTTTATCATATTCATCTGGTAATGCAATATAACTTGATAAACGCTTACCCAAGTAAGCATTTCGTAAACGGGTCATTAGTTTTGTTTTCAGTTTTTAATAGGTTGTTGGTGAGGAAGATGAATATTTAATCATAAGAAACATAAAAATAAAAATTAACATTAAATAGGGCGAAAATTGCAAAAGGACCATTTTGCACTCTACTTTAACAAAAAAGTTTGACCACTGTTTGGTCTATAGCCTAAATCCAATAGAAAGTGCATACGACGAGGATCAAATCCATAATATATGAAGTTTGAGGACCAATTTTGTAAAAATCAGCATACCATAGGACCCAAATCCGTTACTCTATTACACACGCACGCACACACACGCACGCACAGGGTCTTGATGAAAACTTTATGTTTCTGTGAGAACCCCTTTCGCAACCCTCGATAGATTTTGATGCAACAACGATCAACATGTGTGTTTTTGTAAGAGATGTAAGGTATATTCATCTAGTGGTGTAAACGAGTCGAACCGAATAGTAGGTTATCTGATTTGGGATTGAAAAAAAATAAGAGGCTCGAGCTAATTTTTTCATTTTAGGCTCAATCTCAAGCTCGGATAATTTTTTAATTATGGAGCTCGAGCTTGATGCTTGTTTATGTGCTCAAACTCATGATCGATTAACTTGTTTATAGGCTCAAGGTTGATGATTTTTATATTTTTTTTGTATGATTTATGAACGTATGAGCATGTTTGGCTCGGAAAAATGTTTGTTCGAATGGTTTGGCTCGACTTGACTCGAAAAGTTTAATCGAGTTTTCGAATGAACCGAGTCAAATATTGGTGTTATGAAGCTCGACTTGTTAAGTTAAACGAGTTTTATTTTGTGTTCGAGATCGACTCAAGCTCGATAATTATTAAGCTCGAGCTCGAGTAGCTCATTAAAAGCTCGACTCTCTTACATCCCTATATTCATCTTTTGGTTTTCTACATCTAGGTATGATTTGGTATCATAAGATATGTGGGGTATATATATACATATATATATATATACATACATATATATACATATATATATATATATATATAAAGCAATGGAAACAAATCTATACTATATTATAAATCATTTGACAAAAACTCTTAAAAACCATCTTTTATACATTAAGTATTGCTTATTGATACATATTACTTAAAATTCAATATTACAAGTAAATTGTGCATAAGTACAACTTATTAAGCTCCATGTTTGAATTCGTATAACTAATTGTATAAACATAATTAAATATAAGATAACGTTATTATTTTAAACATAAAATTAAAAATATAATTAGGATAATTATTGAGTTCTAATAGGAAAACTTAGTTATTATCTTTATAAAAAAAACAAATTACTTTGTCATTAAACCTAAATTAAATTATAAAATAAAAAATTGAACTAAAGAAATTACACAAAAAATGCAAACTTTTATATTTTTAAATTTTTATGATATCTTCAAATTTATATTTTATTAAGAAAAAACATTATTATTTGTTCAATACCACATAAATCCATATTATAACATCAATAGATACCAAAAAAAATAAAACGAAACAATGAGATCGAGATATATCTCGTTGCATTGTACAATTACCCTTCTAGTATACTAAAACCAAAACAAATACAAGGAGAAACTAACTGAAACTACAAAGCGCAGTAGGCTACAAACAAACGAAACAAACGCTTAAAACTCACAAGAGGGGCCATGTAGATGCTATAAAAAAGGAGCATTTTGAAAAAAGATTAACGACAGATACGCGAGGTATATTAAAGTATGTCATGGTAGGTTCACCTATGTTAAGATTTATTAAAGTTATGGGTAGTTTACTAAATATTTATCGGATAAGCTTTTAACCATATCACTTACCTTAGCAATTGAGCATAACAAAGACCAAGAATCTTACCTAACAAAAGGCATAACAAGGACCGCGAGTCTTACCCGATAAATACTCACAAAATTAACTCATAATTGTAAATAATTGTCCTAGTCAACGTGGAAGGAGATAGAATGGTTAAGAAGCTTCTAAGAACAAAAAATATGAATAAGTTAAACGTGGAGTTTAGGTGGTCCAAGTTCCTTCCGGAAGAGTAACGAAACACCATAAAATGGTCGAAGCTTTCCCATCTTAAGTTGTTTCTAGAAATGGGTTTGGTCAAATATTTTATCGTTAGGGAATTATGTCATGACGAGTCAAAATATAATATTCTACAACTTTTTCAATTTTGGGTCTTTCTTTTATTACGACTTTAATCTCATCTCAACCAAAATATCACTCAACTATACAAGTGGATATGGGAATGAAATGTATTCCATTGTTTTTTCTAACTTGTTTTACATAAAAAACATCGACTGCCGAAGTCGTTTGTAGGGGTGTTCAAAATGCCGACAGACCCGACCTGATAAAACCCAAAAAAAACTCAACATGAGGTAACCCGACACGGTTGATACGAAATTAGGTTAAACCGCATCTGTTGGTTGGGAATTGGGTTAGAGCCATTTGAAGCTAACTCAACCTGATGTCTTTTTATACTATGGATTTAATATGATTCTTAAGTCTTTATTTCAACAATTTTGCTTTTATGAAGTATCTAATATTCATGTGTTAACAAAATCACAACATTATATGTAATTGTTTAATCGAACAACTAGGGTTGCATATGAGTTGGATTGACAGGGTTGAATGCATTTGAACAACTCAACTCAATGTTTGTACTGGAAAAATATCAACCCAACACAAGCAAAATTACAAACCAACACAACCTAAACCGTGAGGGTTGGGTTGGTGGATTGAAACTTTGGTACATCATTTTACAATCTAACTAAGTGTTTGTATATAAATGAAGTAAAATATAAAAAGATGACATACAAAAAACGTTAAGAAACTCAAAAAATGAAAGTTGAAGGTTCATACAAATAAGAAAATGAAATTACAGTTGAAATTGTAATAAAATAAAATATAATTCCTATTTTGTTTTTATGTCCGTAACATCATCAACAACTTTAAAAGGATAAAATTGTATTAAAATAAAATCAAATCAAACCGACCTTTATTTACAAGAAGACTGCTCGCAAGATATATCTTAATTTTAATGTTTTGTTTATTATTTGTCTCTATCGATATAATGCGATTTTTAACGGTTTTGAGAAAGTAATAATGTTTTTATTTTGGAATAAAATATAAATTTAAAGATATCATAAAAAATTAAAAAAATATATTAATATTGATATTGGTATCAAATTTATTATTTAAAAATCTCGTTTTTTGTGTAATTTCTTTAATTCTATATTTTATTTATAAATTTTAATTAGATTCAACAACGAAGTAATTTATTTATGATTATCCTAATTATATTTTAGATTTTTTATATTAAAAATGGATTTATATCTCGTATTTGATTATGTTTATCTATACTTAGTTACATAAATTCAAAAATGAAGTTTTAATAAGTTATACTTACGCACAATTTACTTATGATCTTGAATTTTAAGTAATATGCATCAATAAACAATACTTTATGCAAAAAA